ACCACCACCACCTCCTCCTCCCCCTCCGGCGTCAGGACTCGCCAAGCTGGCACCAACAATCCAAATTCCGCACCCTGATTTGGAAGCAGAATGCCACCTGCTTAAGCTCAACCTAACTTGCAATCTATTCTAAAATTTCCCCCTTTTCAGATCCTTCAATTTCGTCAAACAAGTTTATATTTGTTGATTTTGGCTTCTTTCAGTGATTATCGATTTGGTAGAGATTTCATCTCGTTCTCCGCCTTGATCCCTTTGGATTAGTTGGTGTGTTTGGGGGCATGGCGGATATCGTGAAGCAGATCTTAGCGAGGCCGATTCAATTGGCTGATCAGGTCACCAAAGCCGCCGACGAGGCCCATTCCTTTAAGCAGGAGTGCGCTGAGCTTAAATCCAAGACCGAGAAGCTCGCCACACTCCTCCGTCAAGCTGCTCGTGCCAGTTCCGACCTCTACGAGCGTCCCACTCGCCGCATCATCGATGACACTGAGCAAGTCCTCGACAAAGCCGTCGTCCTTGTCACCAAGTGCCGTGCTAATGGGCTCATGAAGCGCGTCTTCACCATTATTCCCGCTGCTGCCTTCAAGAAAATGTCCTCTCAGCTCGAAAATTCCATTGGCGATGTATCTTGGCTCCTCCGCGTCTCCGCTTCCGCAGATGACCGTGACGACGAGTATCTCGGTCTTCCTCCCATCGCCGCTAACGAGCCCATCCTCTGCCTTATCTGGGAACAGATCGCTACCCTCTATACGGGATCTCATGACGATAGATCCGACGCGGCTGCCTCTCTCGTATCGCTCGCCCGGGACAACGATAGATACGGTAAGCTCATAATCGAGGAAGGTGGAGTTGTGCCCCTTCTGAAATTGGCTAAAGAAGGCAAATCGGAAGGTCAAGAGAATGCTGCCCGGGCAATTGGTCTTCTTGGTCGTGACCCTGAGAGCGTCGAACATATGATCCATGCCGGCGTCTGCTCAGTGTTTGCGAAAATCCTCAAAGAAGGTCCCATGAAGGTTCAGGCTGTGGTGGCTTGGGCTGTATCTGAACTCGCTGCCCATCACCCCAAGTGCCAAGATCATTTTGCCCAGAACAATATAATTCGGCTACTCGTTAGCCATCTCGCTTTCGAGACCGTTCAGGAGCATAGTAAGTATGCAATTGCCAGTAAACAAACCATGTCGATTCATTCAGTTGTAATGGCGAGTAATAATCCCAACCAGAACCCCAACAACAAAAACTACAACAGCAACGGCAACGAAGACGAAAGTCAAATTCCTCATCCAATGGGGAAACGCAACCCAAGCCAGATGCATAACGTGGTTACAAACACCATTGCTGCAAAATCCCAATCCAAGCCACATAACAATGCCGATCAGGCCAATCACGGCAACATGAAGCAGAATCATCATTACCAGCAGCAGCAGCAGCAGCAAAACATGCCTCTGTCGGGAACTAGCATTAAAGGGAGGGAATTCGAAGACCCAGCCACCAAGGCCAGCATGAAAGCAATGGCTTCAAGAGCCCTTTGGCATCTTGCCAAGGGCAACTCAGAAATATGCCGAAGTATCACAGAGTCGAGAGCACTTCTATGCTTTGCAGTCCTCCTTGAGAAAGGCCCGGAGGAGGTACAATTCAATTCTGCTATGGCACTGATGGAGATTACTGCGGTTGCCGAGCAAGACACAGAGCTGAGGCGGTCTGCATTCAAGCCCAATTCCCCTGCTGCCAAGGCTGTGGTTGACCAGCTACTGCGGATCATCGAGAAGGCTGATTCAGAACTTCTGGTTCCCTGCATTAAGGCCATGGGAAACTTAGCAAGGACATTTAGAGCAACAGAAACGCGAATTATTGGGCCACTGGTGCGGTTGCTCGATGAGAGAGAAGGGGAGGTTTCTAGGGAGGCCGCAATTGCCCTCACGAAGTTCGCATGCATCGAGAATTACCTCCATCTTGATCACTCCAAGGCCATAATAAATGCCGGAGGGGCAAAGCATCTAATCCAGCTCGTGTACTTCGGTGAGCAGATTGTTCAAATCCCAGCATTGATCCTATTATGCTATATCGCATTGCACGTCCCCGACAGCGAGGAGCTTGCACAAGCCGAGGTTCTCACGGTGCTGGAATGGACATCAAAACAGAGTTATATGATCCAAGATTCCACCATCGACTCATTGTTACCCGATGCCAAAGGTAGGTTGGAGCTCTATCAATCCAGAGGTTCAAGAGGATTCCATTGATTCAATGTGCACAAATGTTTTCAAAACAAGATTAAATTTGTATCCCCCCCCCCCTTTTTTTTTTTGGTTCTTCACATTATGTAGTGTATATATTGATAGGTAGTCTTTTCTTGAATTTGTGAAAAAAGACTTCCCATAAACCTACAGAAAACCATTGTTTTACTATGTAGTGTGTGAACTTAGAGTTGATACTTGTTTTGCGTCTGGCTTTTGGAGAGTTGGGTTTGTGTGGTTACAGCACAGGACCTATTCTGTCGGTTCTTGGTTTTGGATGAAATGTGAAGGGCCTCTCTCTGGTCCCTGCTGCTAGTGTTGTGCAGTATTTTATTTACTGTAAGAGTGTAAATTGTATAGTTGTTGTCCCCCGCCTACCAGAAAGATAAAGGGGGGGAAAGAAAAGAAAAAGGAATCGTAGCTGTCACTTGCCCTTGAAGAAGGTCAGTAGAAGAGATCGTCTCTCTTAATCCTTGGATGAATGGTGGATGGTACGTTAGAAATATGAAAAGGGTGAATAGATTCTTTATAGTGGTTGGTTAGTACTTTGGGATTTGATTGACAGGTCACAAGAAGAGATTGGAAATTAAGAGATGAATGAGGCCATGAGGCCATTGACCACGAGGGGCATGGGACTTGGGGGCCATCTCCTGAAATCGCAGCTATGTCACAACTCACTCCAGCGGCAGCAGGGAGACTCCGTCTCATGTAATGTTCCCTCCCCTCAACAATCGTTTCTGGACCAATGCCAGCAATCCCAGTAGCCTTTGCCCATGAACATGAAGTGTGTTTTGTCCTTTTTTTGTAAACGTGGCCGGTGGCCTTCAATAGTTCAATCAGAAAACATTTGTATATAACATGGGGACGGAGCTTATTGCTACAGATGCCAGAGGCTTGGTCCTCATCTTATCCAGTTCCAGTCCACCCCTCCCCCCTCCTAAAGTTGTAAGACCGCTCAAGATGAGTGCAAAGAATAATTCTCACTGGATTCGGGCCAAAAAAGATCATCTAAGGACTTGTATGTGTCTAACACTAGCACTAACATGTTCTTTCACATTGAAAAAAGTCAAAATTTTTACTTCTTTCCTGTAGGCTGTAAATGTAATGTGTTCATAGAATAGATAAAATGTATTTATCTAATATTATTTATTAAATCAAAGGACACATTTTTGCTAAACTTTCAATTTACTACCTTTTATATACATATTTTGCAAAACATGCAAACTTCACCTCTGCATAGGTAATACGTTATATCCTCTATCTCTTCTCTTATCATATAAAGCGGACTGCGGACGACCTACTTCCACATTGTGAATGTCTCAACTCCTCAATCTATCTTCTCCGATTATCCAGTAGCTGAATGATCAGTTGGCGACTTGGCGTCCAACCCGTATTAACTGCAGGCTCTCCGTGGTAAGATCAGTGAATCTCACGTGCACCTGCTCTGTCTGCTCTGTCCCCACCCTTTAATCCCCTGCCATGTGTAATATGTAGTACCAGAGGAAAAAATAATATAAAATTATCTCTTCTATGTGTTATTAATGCCTTTCCACTTGTATATGGATAAAAGCAAATGGGTTGTGCCAGCTTAAATACAGCATTTATCTTGAACATCTACCAAAAGTACCAAAGTGGAAAAAAAAAATGTCTTGCCATGAATAATGGAAAGCATCAATGGACATCTCTAGTTCTGGTTTTATCGAACATAATCAAAATCTCAAAGGCTTACCGAGAAAAAAAAAAACAGTTTTAATTTTGAGCTTAACGATACACAGCGAGATTGAGAATGGTCTGTTTACTACGTATGAAAAATGCTATAAACTATAACGAGTAATGGAAGATACAGATATGTTTGCTATTCTTTTTAAAAGAATAATGTCTGAACTAACCCTTGGGATGATCTCTATGTCATGGCAATTGGCAAATACTTTTGAAAAGTGTAGGAATTTAGGCTTCTATTTTATTTTACTTTTTGATGGGCAGTCTTGGAAGACCCAAAAGGTATAGCTCGGGGTTAGCTTTACTAAATCATTTTTTGACACATATGGGTAGAGAGCCTAATGAACGGTAGGGACTAGAGGGACTGAAGGTGGGGCCGTAGGACTCTGTAATTCATGTGGATTAGTTGGTGAGTGGTGCCGCGGCCAACTGCAATCTGCAGCCCAATTTCAGAAAGTCGGAGTGTGTTGATCTAAAGGACCAGCAGGAAATTAGGGTCAACCTCAATCCCAGTCCAAGCTGTTCAACTTTTATTTTTAATCTTTCAGACCTTCGTCGATTGGTTTCAGTTGAATCGAATTAGAAGTGGATTGAGTAGGAGATGGTGGAAGTAATGAATAAAAATAATAAAAAACTGGAATTGAAAAGTAAAAAACAACATCATACTCATATGAAAATTAAATGGATGGTAAGACCTTGACGAAGTCAAGGGAGAAAAGCAGAGGAGCAAGAGTTAGAGATTCAACAAATTGGTGGTAGTTCGTTTGCATTTTGACTGTCTTTCCCCCAAAGGAAGCCGTGCTGAATCAATCTGACCTTCGCCGTTCATAGATTAAAATGGTGAATCCGACGTACAGACCGTGATTTTTAAAATAGAACCGGAAAACAGAATTGCTTTGACTACTGATTCTGGGTCAAACAGTTTGAACGGTTTTAGAGTCCAAAACTAAACTCAGAGCCATGACCGATTCCCAAAACCACCTGTCTAGTTCAATTTTCAAAAAAATTGTACGGACACAACATATTTGAGGGAATTGGGGGGATAAAGTTAGCTACGCTGAGCCTTTTCGGTTTTCTTTTCTTTTCTTGAAGTTGAATGTTGATTTTTTTTTTTTTTTTGGGCTGCCGAAGTTGAGTACTTTTGGGTCTTTGACACATGGAAAGACTAGGGTGAACTATTCAAAGTAAGAGCATAATACGCGGAGATCAGCTTTTGTAGATGAGTTATCTGTCATTTGCTCCATCTTTGGCTTTCCACGGAAGCTTCTTTTCAATAGCTTCTCCAAAAGCAGCTTAACGAACGCTTCAGCCCTCCCAAAAGGAAATTTCCAACACATCCCTCACCATGCATCTTCAGCGTATCCCACACCGTACATACCCTTCCAAGGGGTTTTGGATATTTGACTTAAGTCGTTATTACATTCAATTATTATATGACTTTACCATTTCACCTTCAAACAACTGTCGAGACTTGGTTAGAGGATGTTCATTCTCCCAAGTTTATACATTGAAGATTTTAAGTGTATGGTGGAAATCATCTAATCACATTATAGGAATCTCTTTAAATGGGACCCACAATGGGGTCAATCTGAATTTTCTACATATAAGACGTGTGGCAACCTGTAAGGCCACCTCATTATAACAATGCGCCCTCGTTTCAATAATTCCATTTGTAAGAGTAAGACAGGTTACACTATATGCGAAGCATACACTTAGATGAGATACGTTTGCATGTGCATGCAACATAATAAATATGTCGTCGGTACTTGGGCCTGGACGTTTTTTTAGACACTTCGGCTCAGTTTGGAAGGAGTGTAAATAGAAATATGTAGAGTGTAAAGCTTTATATTTTGTATGTATTTGTATCATGGTTTTTAAAATTGAATCGATCAAGGGTCCAGTTATTGGTTCGAACAGTTGGCCTGTTCTAACAAAAAAATTAAAAAATTGAACAGTTAATCGGCCAGTTCAGCGATTTGCTGTTCAAAATCAATGGTTTTGGGGAAAAATAGAACCGATCAGATGACCAGTTCCCGATATTTCCAGTCCAACCATCTGGTCCGTTTCGATTTTAAAAACCATGATTTATACTGTGTATATTTGCATCTGCACTCTTTCCAAAGAACCATTCGAGATGAAACATTACGTATCAGGCTCAACTTCAGTTCCAACGCATGAGATCATATAATCGTCCAGGAAAAGAATTACCATGTACCGCTCATCGCTGAGGTGCGGATACATTTTTGTATAGAAATAGGAATAAAGTCATTTTCTCCATCCCCAGTTTTGCTTGCCAAATCTGTGTTTTCAAATTAGGGATCATTCTCCGACAGAGAAGCATGAAAATGCGGGTTGAAACAGCCACTTTGTGCAAAAGAAATGCCACAGTAAGATCGACATCTAATCCACCCCTTGTAACCATAGCACCCCGTCTATCAAATGCTAATAAAAAACCGAGTTTATGCAACTCTTGGTAAGATCCATGAAAAACACTAGAAAACAAAGTTGGACATGTTTTTGATGAAGTTGTTTACCAGTATTTCTGAGCACCTATCGAAGCAATTCAGAATCCAGATCAGCACACGGGATACTCAGAAGCATCCATTATATACTCTTACGAAATCTGAAGAGCAAATAATCTAGAATCTCTAGAAGAAAAAGTTGTCTCATGCAACTAAAATGTCTCTAGTAATTCATAACCTATTCCCCTGAAGAATCCCCCAGCTGAGATCCAACCGATACCATACAGAGTAATTACAGTTTTCTATGAGCAATATGCTTCCTAGGCTCCACGATTGTGTCCCCCCTTGTTGAGTCCTTAGTCCCAACTTTACAACGAAAGAGCTATACAACAGGAGAACATCAGAGAATAACACCTTTCAATGAAGGAGATGAATCTTAACGTTCAGACTTCAGAGTAATAAACATCATCATCAAATCCCAAAGCATTTTTTTTTTAGCACAGATTAAAGGGCCAATTGTATCATACCAAGGATTGGAGAGTTGGAGAAAGAAATGGTTTCTTATCCTGCAGAATGTAACAGAACAGCCCACAATGAAAGAATTTTCCAGTAAACTTTTTTTTCCTGAATCCTTGGATTTGTTCTTTTACAAGCCAAACTCGATGGCTTTTGCATTTAAACCCCTCTCACGTTTCATTAATCCCATGTTTGACTCAAACCAGGAACTTGCTCCGAAGGTCCGTAAGACCTAAAATTGTTTTCCGTACAAGTCTGAGATTATCATAACTACATTTTATAGATGATAAAGATGTTTTGTCCATGAAAAGGGGAATCATCAAGTAATGCCTAACATAAAATAATGAATGTCGGTACCACATTTTTAGCACATACAAGGCATGCCAAAGTAGTACTGTGAACCAGGCGGCATGAATTTCCGGCAAGGCCCACGTAACGAAATCATTTATGTGACAAAGAGTAGTTTTACCTAACTGGGTAATTCCAAGAAGAAAAAGAGTTTTTAAGGGACCGTTCAGGAGGGCTAAGCTGAAGATAAGCTTCAGTTCAGCTGCTTAAAAGCATAAGCAATGTTTGGATGGGTTAAAACCAGTTCATCTGCTTAAACACTTGACCATGCTTTCTGGTTTTCTGGTTTTACAAGTGCAAAAAGTAAATAAATAAATAAATAAAAATGGTACAATTGTATCCAAGTTACGTTTCTTGCTTTAATGATCAAATTATGCTTCTCTTTGGAAAATTCAGAAATAGTCCTAATTCTCCTCTTTTTTCGCAGTAATGGGTTGACAAAAAACCCAAATAAACAAGAAAAAATAACAAATCAGCACTGAAGAAGATAAGCGCTGACCTTTCTTCTCCATTAAGGAAAGGGAGAAGAAAAGAAGCACGTCCGTCCTGGAGGAGTTATCATTTGATCTTCCAAAAGTTAATGACGGGAAATAAATGTCATTTTGAAAAAAAATAATAATAATAAGGGATATACTTTTGTCCTAGATGTCAAGTTGCAATAGATGGAGCTCCATAAGCTATTCAAAGAGGCTGCCCCATTTCGTGTGTGGAATTGACACCGATAACAACACCTTCTGGCTGTCTCCTATTAGATGGAAGACCCGAATTGCCATGCCATTGATCACGTGGCTATACTTGTATGAAGTGCTCACGACTTGTAACTACAAAAACATAACAAACCCAAAAGCTTCATCAACTACCAAAAAAACGTGGAAACAAGGAAGCACATCTTTACCTTTTCTAGTCTTTCAAGGGTTGTGTAAAAGAGAACCTAGGTTGGTCGCTAGGGAAGTATATTCATGTTTGATTTTCAATATGTGCACTGCACACAAAGTTGAGATGGTGTGCACTGGCATAGATGGAGGGAAAAAATATTCAGAATTCATGTAAAACAACATAAAGTTGAATCCTTAACTATATTCTAAAAGATTCCAGCACCCCATCAGTTGGTCAAGAGACATCTTTTGTAAACCTAAGCTTTCATGTGCATATAGAATAAGTCAATCATGATGCTAACTAATTAACATGGGCAAGTGTCATTGACTAGCTTTCTGTTGATCTAATCCAAGGGGGAAGGGAACTCTATCAAATCATTTCAAGGCAAATTCACCAAAATTTCCCCTCAACTATCTCACAATTACTAAAACTTTTAACTGAAATGGCATTTTTAAAATCTCCTTTTTTGTCAATCAACAGTTAAATGTTGTTCATTCACCAACTTACCTGTCTTTAAAATGTTTTTAAATATACAAAATTACTCTTCAGTTATTGCAAAGCTAGGATTATCCACATCTCCTGCCTAAAGTTGAAGAAACAATATTAGGATAAGAGAGTGCTGCTGATACAACGGGAACTCTTTTCTTGCAATCAAGTTTTTGAGCTTGCTAGGTACAATTTTTGTAAAAAAATATGGCATAGGATTTTGAGATTTCTTCACATGTACAAAATGGGGAATCAACCTGATTTTCTCCAATCCTGTCAAACTAGGATCAGACCAAACAATAGTATCAAAACTTTCTGTGTTTGATAAGTTCTATATTTACCAAGAAATAGGCTATGAAGAGGTTTGAACCTGGATCTTTTTACATGTAAATCAAAACAAGAACCATTGAGCCAATGATAATTAGATTGTGGAACATTATATATGGAGAGTATACATACTTGTTTGTCATAAAATTGCTATAGAAGAGATTCAAACCTGGTTTGATGAGGGCCTGAAGTATATTAATGATGTTGGAGCAGCCATCCCTTGCAGGCAATCTGGAAGTCCTGAAATGAGGACAAGTTTAAGGGAGTCTCAATGTGCCCATTGGATGTTATCGGGATTCAGGAATAATATGTGTTGCACAAATGCTACCTTGAGCCCAGTCTGGAGGTGCCCAATTCACAGCCTAATGGTCGAATGCCATGTTGGACCCCCTTCCCTTGGCACGGATGGTGCAAAGTAAATTGCAATGCAGTCTATGTGAAAGAAGCTAGCACCAACTTCCTTGGTTGTGTGGTCAGAAATGATGCTGAGGATCTTTTAATGGCAAAGGGTTGGGTGACGAAGTGCAATAACCCAAAGACTGCTAAATTAATAGCCCTGAGAAATGGAATCAGACTGGCAGTGGATTTTGGACTTCCTAGAGTGGAGTTCGAATTGGATTCCAAAGAAGCGGTAACAGACATTGAAGTGGGGCAGAAGCATCAGATGGATTACGACTACAATCTAGTAGCAGACATCAGACAAGAGAGTGCAACTATAAGAAGATACTCTTTCACAGCTATCAGAAGATCGGCCAACCAAGTGGCCCATGAGATCACTGTGAACGAAGACATCACCCAACTCAGTTTTGTAATGATGGACTTGTTTACATCCATGGCTGGAGTTTTTCTCGCAAATGACTATGCTCTGATTAATGTACCCACCGTAAAGTTTTTGTTTAATGAAATTACTTGCTTTGTTACCAAAAAAATGAGGCTCTTGTATGAAAGAACAAAAACCATTAGGCCACAACCTATTACTGATCATATTGATGTCATGGGTCACTGTGTTAACCCAGTTGTTAGACCATTTGACCCATGACTTGCATTCTACTTTTGTGTCCAATGTAAGTCTGATAACACTGCTTTTCTCTGCATTTATGGGATGAATGTCATCTTCTCCAACAATGGCAGCTATCTTCTTCAATTAGCGTGCATGTTTTTGGGTATTTAGGTAATTCACAATTGTTCAATTGACAAATGACTGATTTTTTTATCATTCATTCACAAAAAATAAAAAAAATAAAAACTCCCAAAGTAGTGCCAAATCAACTAACATAGAAGGTTTTAATTAATTATCAAAGAACAGGGGAAATCTTGGTAATTATCAAGTAGTTGAACAAAGTATAGTGAAACAGAAAATTTCAGCCTAATCTACAACCAAGTTGGCTTAAATTAAAATCTTAGGCATATATACTCTTGCCCAATCCCAAGCCCAACTTAGGAACATAAATGCAAAACATTATATTTCATTGCTTGTGCAAGCAGAAGTATAAACAGTTTAAGTGACTGGTTTAAAAGTTAATTTGAATTTGTAAAGGCATGAGTTCAAGGCTAACCCAAACCAACACAGGATGAAGAGTCAGTATAGTAAGACTAGGATCAACCTCAGATCAGAATTTTTGGGATACTGATTTAGGATAGTGTTACAAGTTGAGTATTCGGTCCACAAGGTTGGCATTGAGTTGGCTCTTCTTAAACTACCTAAACCACTCAAGCTTTAAACCTAACAAGAACTTATTACAATGGTATGAAGTTTAATTACTTCCGTAAATCAGTTCTAAATGGTGCAGTTTTCCTTAACATAATATTAAGTTATTGATGAACCAAATCAGTTTCAGCAAACCACTTAATAAATAACAATACATCTTATCCTAAAGTTCAAGCAATAAATTATAATAGAATCCCATTCTTTCCCATTTCTAGCCTTTGATGTTGGACCTATCCTGCCATACCTATAATATCACCAAATGTTAAGCTTCAAGTTGCCTCCACCTTCCAATGCTTCTTTCCATTACTTGTAAGGATTTTTCTGCTTACACTGCACTAGTAGTTATTGTCACAATCAAAAGGAGTGTAGCAATTAGAAAAAAAAGGAAAGAAAATATCAAAACCAGTGCACTAGAAATTTTGCAACTTAAATACAATCTTATATCAAATACCATCCCACTGTCCATGAAGAGCTTAGCAAGGAATTCCAATACAAATTTGGAATCACTAAGCAGTTGTTTGGTATCGATGGCATTTATAAAATAAACGTTTTGTACGATTTTGTCTCAAAAAATGAGATAAAATCTGCTTTAAACATTCTGTACGATTTTTTTACACCTCAGCGCCATTAGGTGCCATATAAGCCAAACAGTTAAAAAAACGGTCTTGCAAATGAAAAACGTCAGATTTGGCGTTTTTTTGATAAACGGTTCTCATGATTTTCAAGAGAGCCGTTTATCTGATAAACGGTTCAACCAAATAACTTTTTAGACGTTTTTTTGTTAAACGTGTCTATGATGCTGAGGTGGCACCATTTCTCCGAAAAGCTACATTGATACCAAACACCATCTAAATCAATCTGTTCATCAAGCTTGGACAAGGTGCCAGGCAGCTGAGCCAAGACAAGAGGTGACTGCCTCAAGGTGAGGTGGAATAATTTTGCCTCAAGTGTATAGCCACAGGGTGATGTAGAAGGCATTGGCCTCAGTTTCTGAGAGGCATAAACCCTTAAACCAGTCACCTAATTTACAAAAGGCAGAGACTCAGGTTGATCAACCCTAATACAAAAAACAAAGTGTCTGAATCCTAGTTTCCGCTGGACCAGTTGCAGGATTATTTAGTTGTTGAATGAGACATATAGTGTCCATGGTGGAATTGTTGATATCCTTTGCTATAATACATACTTTAACAGGATTCCATATTTGATCCCTCTTTTAGTCAATACTTTATCTGCTTCCTAGTTAACTCAATTGGCATTAATGTTGATTTTTGCTTTTTGAAAACTTAATTCTCTCACAGGCTCTTGTTAACTACTTAAGAAAGTCACATTCTAATAGCATCAAACATTTGAACTGATCATCAATTCTTTTGCACCTCACTAGTTTTTTTTTTTTTTCTTGATAATTTGCACTTCATTAGATATCACTCATCAGTGATTTCAAGAAATTACAACTTCCTCTGTTTTTTTATTTGACCAGTAACTACAACTTCCTCTCTTAGACACATGTTACATCTCTATTACACACAAAAATAAATAAATAAATAAAAACATTGGTTGGTCCTTATCACCTGTGCACTGAAAGCTAGTAGCACCTCATATCTCTTATGATGCAGGTACCATTGTTATTACACAGCTCCACTAGCAATCAACTTTGTACTGTAGAAGGCTGATTAGCCCATGTTCACTCAAACAATCATCTGTCCAACCCGATAGAGAACAAAGGTCTTTAGAACTCTTGGACTAGTTCTTGTAAATGCAATGAGTTAACTCAATTTAGTTGACTCTTCTCACCTACAAGTGTAACTTAATTATGGATTACGAAGGAATTCTAGTAGAAAGAAATTCACACTGAAATGATTGATACAATCTCTAGTTGAAGGTACAATGACTTCGATTTTGCAAAATTTTCTGTACTTTCCTAATTTTTCAATCCGCATTTTAAGATTGTTTATGTAATTTGATATCTATGTGGTTCTGTCCCCAATGTCATGAGTTTTGGAAGATGACACATCAGGGCCTCTAGACATCTAGATACCTGACATATGTTCCATGTACCAGGATACCAGTCCAAACATTGCAAAAACAAGGACATTGAGCACTAATAGAAGATTCTTGGTTTTAGGTCTGCAAATTTTGTACCCAACAGGAGTTGGAACCCAGTAAAATTAGTTCCTTGACAAATTGGTTATACTGCAATAAGAAGGATGCAAAATCAAAATTTTATGTTACACTGTATTTAACTTTCACTTACGACACCCATAAGAAGTGATCTGTTGCAAGTTGAAGGGGCTAGAAGGGGTAGGGGTAGACCAAAAAGGATATGGGTCAAAGTATTAAGAAATTATTTAAGAGCTAATAATAACAATGGATATGGCACTAAACAGAACAGAAATGGTGAAACAGGATTCATGTAGCAGACCCCATATAGTTGAGATAAGGCTTGAATGATGACGATGATGATTATATTTAACTTTCACATGTTAGGTTCTGTACATTGCATTTGTTCTGCTGTCTTCATGTTGCAAACTTGCAAATTAGTCTTTCTGCTTCCTCTCCTTCCTCATTGTTCTGTACATTATAGTTGTCATTGTAACATTTAAGATTAATAATTAAAAAGTTGTAAGATTTAGCATTTTGGATAAATGCACTAGATTAGGGGATTAACAGACACACATGGGCTAGTTGAGGCTTCTTTTTCCCTTTGTTTTCAAGATCTGCAACAGAATTTAAATAAGGACACAAACAGAACCTTAGGTGGTTAGAGATTTGACTTTTTCTCTCAACAAATCACGAGAGTTTTATATAGTTTTCTATTTCTATCTTTACATTTAAACTTCTATAGTTTTATATCTGGTCATATTTTAGATTCCTTTCAAATGAAGAAATATGACAAGAAAACAAAATGTGAGATATGATAAATAATATGATTTTTTCATTTCCTTTATGAAGCTTTGGTTACATGAACATAACAAGCAAAAAGAATAACAACCATTTTTTTCTAGTTTTTGTTTTAAATTTTTCTGCATGAACAATACTGACTATTAAATTAATATACATAAAACATGTAGAAGGGAGCTATAATCTTAAACACTCTTATTTTAGACCTAAATAGAGAAGTCTATTTCACTGTACAATTACTTGAAAAGAATATATGTGCGTATCAAAAGATATAAGCAAATTCATATTTATGGAATGACGTAAACAGGATTAGAGCAATTCACTTTTGTTTGAGTGAAGCAGGTAAAGACATAATAAATCCACAACCACAAGGAACACTTATAGCAGCATACCTATAAGAAACTCAGAGATAAGTTAACAAACAAGTTACAGGTGCATGCTTTTCATCTTATAGCTGGGACATTTAAGCTGCTGAAGACAATTATTCCTTTTATAACTAACTAAAATAATTCAAACAAAAAATGGAGAAAGGACACAAACTACAATGTTGATACTCTACTGTTGTAGGCATATCAACTTAAAACTTTCAATTCTGTTTGTGTAGGAGATTAACAAATACCGTTGTCCAAAGGGCAATTTCTTAAAGTACCCCTATTTAGGAAATTGACTAACTCAATCCTTACAGTTTACATGTAACATCACGTGATTGATATATTTTCTAAAAATTCCTAAAATACCTTTTCTAACAAATTGTGTAAGTCCCTTTCCTAATTTTGTCTGTTACACTTGGAATAGCGGCAGAAACTGGCTTAGGTTTATTGGCATTTTCAGAGATGGAAACAATACTCCAACTTCTTGGTTCAGCTGCACTTGTTCAGTTTGTCAGCAAGAAACTATTGTTTGCAGAAGACAGAAAGGTAACATTAAAACAAGTCGACAAGTTCTTGAACACTAAGGTAGCTCCCAAGGAGCTCGTTGACGAAACAAAGCAAATTGGGAAGGCTCTTCAACCATCACCTATAGATAACATCATAACAAGGCTCTACTGGCACCTGTGGAAAGAGCACCCGATACTGTGAAGATGGCTGAAGCTGTTCCAGAGTTGAATAATGAGCCAAAATTAGGAAAAACTGCAAAACCTAGTCAAGAGGTCAATTCAGTACCCCAAACAGATGATAAAGCAGAATCAGTTCCAGGACTGTCAAGATCACTCTCGCCATACCCATATTATCCAGATTTCAAGCCTCCAATACCACCTTCCCCCTCGCCACCCTAAAATTTTGTTGCAGTGTGAGATCCAGGAATATGTTTCTGCAATAGACAAACTGTCTGACCCGGAAATACCAGAAGCTACTCAGCAATTGACGAGCCTTTCCGACAGAACAATTTCATTGTGCAAACACAGATCTAGGCAACCCACGACCAGAGGCCAAGTGTTGTTGGCTGGCCTCAATAACATGATATATACATTCGGCACGGACCCAGAGGGAGAGTCTACAAGAGTGAATCAACAGGAAAGTGCGGAGCAAATTACAGTTCTTGAAAATTTTCATCAATTGGGTTTTGAGGAATAGTGGAGGGAAAATTCAAAATTCGTTTTTTTCCATTAGTGCTTAAGTAAGATGTCAATTATCAGAAAATTTGGGATAATTTTAAGACAATATGTATACAGTAAGGGTATAATAAATTTCCTAAACCATAGGGTACTCTAAGAAATTTGCCCTTCTGCAAACCAATACCATAGAACAGGCTATCATCCATATGTATGCCCCCGTCATTTGATAATTTTTCATCAAATCAGTTCATTCAAGGAAACACTTTTTACAGTGCACGCTTCCATGAATTAAGTCAAGCTAGAACATACGCCATAATACACGAACTAATTGGGTGCAGAAAAAAATAAAAAATAAAACTCTCCATCGGAGGTTGACAGCTCTATGCTACATCATTACTGGATACCAGATGATTGAACCATGATAATGTTCACAGGCGAGTGCATCACTGTGGAGAAGCATTAGATTTGAACCAGTAGTGGAATTGACTGAACAGACTGAACATCCAAAAGGGCTAAGTATTTCTGTTTCATAATATCAATACTCGTATTTCATTCCTCTTAAGTTGGGCAAAGCAGTCACCCAAAAGAAGGTTGGTTGGGAAAGCTTTTCCATTGAAATAGTTGCTGACAAAATTAGTCCAAAATTCGATTGACAATAAAATAAGGAAATCAAAACTCACATCAAAATCCAAGTAATTTGTGATTCTAATAAATTATATCTAAATGGGAATAGGTAGGAAAAGCTTATCTAATGTACTGCAAAGCCAAACACAAGGATCAAGAGTAGCACTGTTTGAAAAATCCCCGCCTAAACCCTAAGAAGAGGTCTCCAGAAGATCGGTCACTTCGACGAGCGAGAATTTGACCTTGGAACTTTTGTCGTGGAGAATTCTGTGGCAAAGTAGGGGCAAAGCAGACAAGTAAACTCTGATTTGCAGTGCAAAGCAAAATCTGAAATAAAGAGTATATCAGAATTTACTCTAAACGCATTTGCAATCTTATACTGTTAACTCAGAAGTCCAGAACAAATGAAATTGCACGGAAAATAATGAAATGAACAACAGGTCCAAGACTGAGCAGTAACCTTTCCGGCCTAAGTAATAAGTATGGCTGGGGGGTGCTCAGTGCTCACGGTTCGGTCGCGGCCTTTTTTTATAGACTTAACCGGTCTTTCGGTTTTTGGAAAATCGAAAACTGAAACAGAATCGAAACCAGTCGATTAATCGTTTGATAAATTCGCTTTTTGATCAGTTCATTTTTTTTTTCATTTTTTTTGAATTTACAATATCTATATCTATCTACTAATAAAAGAATCAATAGTCTTATTTTCTGGATTTTTCATTAGACATTTTTACCCTTTAGCTAAGCAATATACAACCAGCATAAAAAGGGCATATATGTCTTTTATTCGTACTTCAAAAACCACTCACTTATAACAGTTAAAAAACTGCCTACCTATAATAATGTTGCTTAATCATCTCAACTAAACTCATATTTTCAACCATATTTTTCTTGATTTTCCAACACCATGTTCCATATAATAATGATGCTCTTATGACTATCTTATAAAACTTCTCAATTTGTCTTAGGGGTTGTTTGATAACAGCTAAAGTTGTTGAACTAAACAACTTATTGCTTTATCTTTTAGTGGATAAAATAATTAAATGATAAAATATTCAAAAGTATAGTAATCTATCCAACTTCAGCTTCAACCATTCATGAGCTCACAATTTCCTTAAAGACTTGTTCTCTAAAAGACGTAGCAATAAGCTTTTTAGTTAGCTTCTTCATATCTTATCAAATGGTGTCTTACCTTAGTGGTATTAACTAGATACATAGTACACAAATGCACCTCTCCCTCTCCGGTTCAACCACTGTTCACTAATTTTGTGTGACACCATCTTTTTTTTTTTTTTATTTCTCCATCATTATATATGATTATCTAAGGTATTGGAAGTGGTTAGTTTCGGGTATCGGTTTTTTTGATAGGTAATTATTAACTATATTAATTGGTGATTGAAGAGTATATGAAATATGTACAATGGATAATGTGCCAAGAACCTCAAAAGTATGAAGAAAATTGTTCTTTTATTGCCACCCCTCCCCCCAATTAACACATTAAAGAAGGCAATTTCATTTCTTTGTTATAGAGGTGCTTTGTTATGCCTCATTTATTACAATTTTTGCCTTCATATTTGGTGACTATGATTACCATAGAGGAAGACCTGAATCTTATTACTTGTTGGTGAATTATCACTATGGTGACTCAATCATACTTGCAATTTCAGGAATAAATCTGAAACGGTTATTCAAGATTCATTAATTTGAAAATTTGTCCTTCTTTGTCACAAAGCATTATTCAAGATCTCTCTCTTACTTGAACAATTGAACCTCCATTCAAACCTCCTTTTAATTTGTCATACTTTAATCATTATCATGACAACCTCCTACGTGCAATGCACGTGCACACTTACTAGTATATATATATATATATATATATATATTGTTTTATAGAAAATAATATATATAATAAAAATATTATAATTATTAATTTTTATAATTCTTATTTTTTAAAATATCAAATAAAAAATATTTTTATATATAATTTTTTATTTTTATAAAATATTTTTTCTCAAAATCAAGCTCGAGCCAAGCTGAGCTTGAGCTTATGAATTTTTTACTCGAGCCGACTCAAGCTCAAGGTTCTGGCTTGAATTGAGCTCGAGCTCAAGCTCGAGCCTCGTCCTATTCGGCTCGTCTCGGCTTGAATCCATCCCTTCCCAAAACTTTCATTTGCAATAATAAGACCACCTTGAACTTTTAGATTCCAATACTTTGCCCCTCTACAAGATTCGTATGGGCAAAAAAATGACATTTCGAAATGATGAAAATGGCAGGGCAAAGCACATTATCTCTTTTTCACCTACCTTGATTCTAAACCCTAATTGAATAAGATGCACATTGCAAAGAAAACGAAATGTGATAGAGCAGCATGTCATAATGACATCGTTAACTTCAAAGTCTTAAATTGGGCCCCCTAATTGAATCTGGCATCAAATTTATCACATAAGTGGGAATGAGGTCTACATTCTTGAATCTTTCTTAACTAAAATACCCCTATTGTTGAATTTGGTCCCTCTTTATTATAAAGGTAAAAAACATAATTTGAATTACTACTTTCATTCCATTCCCTTTAATTAAATCCTATATTTAACGTATTAACTTTCACCCCTCTCATAAAATCCTATATTTATTGTATATGAAATAAATGGGCATTGCTAACTTTTCCTTGACTAAAAGACCTATAGTTTTGAATTTAGTCATTTTCTAATTATGAGGGAAGAAAATATAATTTAAACTCTTACTTTTTACCTTCATTCAATTCTCTACCATTAAGATGTTAACTCCCATTCCCCCTTCTTAGATCCTTTATTTGAAACAGTTTTGTTTCTCACCAATAAATTCTACTAATTAAATTTATACCTAATAATTACAAAACCTATGTGTTCAAACCCAAAATGAAAATTAATTTTTTTTTGTCCATGTAGCAAGTACATAGTTCAACTATCTAGGCCAAAATGGATCAACCAATGATCTCACGTTAAACAATAAAGGTTTAAAAATAAATAAAATATAAAAATTACAAAAAAAAATAGCTGCACCTCTAAAGTTATATACTTATCATGTTAAATAAAAATAAGTATGATAAATAATAAGCATTTTTATTAATGTTGTAAATGAAATATAAAATTTAAAACTGACCTAGAAATGAAACCATTGTCCTATTATTTAAGTGGTGGTTTAATGGTTCAACCTTTTAGGTCAAATTGGTCAACCCACATTGTCATAATTAAATAACAAAAATGTTAAAAATAGATAGAGATAAAATTATTAAAAACACAAAACATAATATTGTAGAACACATTTGAGTGCATCTCATCATATTAAACAAAAATAAGTGTGATAAACAAGAGTTGTTTTTGTTAAGGGGTTTTTATAGATACCTCCACCTCATAAATTTTTATAGGTTTGTACAGTTGGGAGTAATGACAAGTGGGGGAATCTATCACAATACAAGGGGAGTATTGTAGCATATGTGGGGGTTTGGGATAATAGATTTAGAAAACCAATAAAAATTTGTGAGGGGGAGCAAACCACCACATTCTATTTTGTTAATGATGGAAATAGAATAAATGTTTAAATAACTCAAAAAGAAAACTGTTTTTCCATCTAATTGATGGTCAATGACCCAATTACATACATACATATGTAGACATATATTTGCATAAATGTATATATAAGCACATACATTTATGTCAAATTTTAGCATGGAGATGATTGACCAATCCAAGCTTGAGCACAACTTGGGTGTGTCAAGTTTCAATGCAAGTTGGGCCCAAGTTGGACAAATCAAACTTGACCTCGGGCTTAAGCCTTAGACCTAATGCACAGGGTTGGGCCTATATTGAGCAAAAACTTGGCCCAACTTGCACCCTAATGGTCCAATAATTTGGGTAAAATGGAGTAACGAATGATGTCATAATTAAATAATAAAAAAATACGTAATAGATAGAATTACAAAAACAAAACTATAGAAGTTTTATAGACATATTTGACATATCACAAATATAATAAATATGTCATATTAAACAAATACACGTTTGATAAACAAGAATTGCTTTTACAATTAATTACGAAAATGGAATAGAAATTTTAAAATTTCTCAAAATGATATTGATTTCCCTTTCAAGTCCAATAGGTCAACACATGATGTCATAATTATATAATAAAAACTCAGAAAATAGATATAAATAAGAAATTATAGAAAATGGAGAAATTCATTAAAAAACTATGCACATCTCTAATATTATATGTTTATCATGTTAAACAAAAATGACAATTGAAATAGAATACAAAATTTAATTTGGCTAGCACACCATGCACATTTACTAGTAACAACAAAATGATAGATTGCAAAGTTTGCAACTAAGACTAGACTAAGCTCATTCCTCGTGAACAGCATGGCCCCAAAAAATTGTATTTGCATTTTTGTTTCATGACTGGACCTGAATCAAGTAGAGAAAAATTTGAAGACAAAAATTGATAATAGTTAGTGGTGGAAGTAGAGGACTAGAGGGGTTGGGCTGTTACCATCGGGGCCCTTGCATTGTGGTATGGATTTGCAGCGCTAATATTAATCCAATTCGCAATCACATGATTTGTAGTTGCACAAGTTTGTTTTGAAACTATGGTTGTTCATATGCAAATGGAGATTGTGTCTCCAATTTCACTTTCACAACAGGGACTCATCGGGTTATGGAGTCGTGTGTTCACGAGTTTTCTTACCTGTCTAACAGAATCTGTTGCACAAAGTTACACGTGGACTGTGATTTTCTTAGAGTTTGTTACAATTTGTCAAGCTGTATAGACGGTTGCTTGTGTACATGTAACCTTGTCTATAAATTAAGTTTGTTATGACTTATACAGCTTGACAAGTTGTAACAGATTCTAACAAATTCAGGTGAACCTACAGTCCACGTGTAACTGTGTCGTCTGTGTGTAACAGATTCTGTTATAGACAGCTAGGAAGTTCACAACACAAATCCCATTCTTGATCTAATGTGGGCCGACTCGGTTAGAGCTTTCTGACCCTGGTTAGGGTTTTTCACATAAATATCTTATTGTATCTTGTGATGCAAGCTATCTTATATTTGGAGAATCAAGAAAAGAAAGAAAGCTGGAATGTGTGGGATAGTTGAACAGAGTACGGGTGTATTATGTATTTAATATTATATTGGGAGTGAGAGTGAGAGTGAGGGAGTTTGTATATGTTGCGTCGTCTGTAATCTCTCTAATTCTTTAGTAAATTTTATTCTCCTCTGATATCTATTATTCTAAAACACATAAATGTAGGTATGCATTCTTGAATCGCTCTATTTTTTGTTTTTACTGTATTTTCTCCCTTTGTTAATTAATTTCGGGTCATAGGTTTGTTCTTCCGTAACAAAATTAAAAAAAAAAACTATTTCTAAAACTCTCGTTAAAGACATTTGGCAAACAATA